TTAAAGAAACTCCCTATAAGACAGTTACTTTGCTGCCTGTCTTGATAATGAATGAGTCTTGTTAGAGTTTAGACTGAACCTGGCCTTGTAGAACTCCAATGTGTCTGGTGAGATGAGCTATGCTTGTCCTGAGTTCTTGGTCCAAAGGATAGAAGCTGCTCTCACTGGGCCAGTGGCCATAAAAGACAGAGTATGGTCAAATGAGACCACTAGAGCTCTGACCTCCCAAGGGAATGTGACCTGGGAGACAAGAAAGAGTGTTTCTTCAGGCTGACACACTGAAACAGACATCAAGTTTTGATTCTCTGATGTCTCTGAATTTTGCATCTGTTTCTGAAAAAGGTGGATTATAATGCACATTTAATGCTGTCATATGCTCATTAAATGAAGTAATGTGTCCAAATTATGTAATATATACTGGGAACTGGGGAAAAGGCAGGTTTCTGATCTATGACTTTGTAGCTTTCAAGGTACTATATCACAGAACAGACATAGATTTTTACTCAGACTTAGGATCTCCACATATGGAATTGGGGAACCCACATCTCTTTTCAGTTAAGCATTCCGTCTTCCTCCTTGCCTTTCTGCCTCTTCTAGTCTAAGTTATATTTTTTCATATTCTAATAATGCTCCCTCCTCAAATCAGGCTTTGCTTTTATCAGGAAAACCCACCCAGGAATTTCTAGGATTAAGAGCCATTCCTTGCTGGCTCTGCATTCTTTAGTGCATATTTCCTTGGACAGTTTTCACAAGCAACTGTTCTGCTCAAAGTAATTTAAGGCAATGTTTACAAAAGTGTGTTTGGTGGAATGCCAAGGGTATCCATTCTATAATCCTGCCTCCATATAGGATAGAAACCAGAATTCAGAAGGGAAAGTCTTGGCTACTGTTCTTTGATGGAGAATAAAAATGTGTATCTCATGTATTAGAGCTTTCTAAGAGCAGAGAAAACAAAAAACAGATTCACATCTCAATAGACTGTCTCAGGACAGGAAAAAGGTGTACTGAGCAGTCTGGCTTCATGTGAGGTAGAGTTTTCCTTTGAATGCTGAAGGGCAAGTTTGCTTGGTGCAGAAGAGAAAGGTCATTCTATTCAGAAAGGATAGATTAGTCAGATACACAGAGAAAAGTGCACAAAGTTCTTAATGGTAAAAGTGTCAAATGTGTATGAGGAAATGAGGTGATGGAGAAGCAGCACTCTGTGAAGAGGTGGAAGGAAGGAGATCAAGAAAAGAGACCATAGGACCTGCTAGGAAATTGCTGTGAATATTTACCATGTCCTTCCATGGAAATTCAGAAAGGACATCAAGAATATTTACTTAATTATGCCTGGATCAGAGATGAGGGCTTCTCTAAACATAAACCCATTATAGATCTCATTGCTGCAAAACTGAGCTCTGTTAGGTCACTCAGAGTCAGGGGGAAAAGTGCTTAGAACAAGTGTTTTTGGCTAAGGGCAAAAAAAAGCTGAAGTACTCAAATTGTTACAGTCATATTTCAAAGGCAAAATTCTCCACAAGTTCAAAGCATATCCTCATTCAAGATGACAAGTCAACAGTGAATTCTTAGCGACATTAACAAGAGGAGTTACGAGAAGCATAGAGAAGGAGTTAAAATTTGAAGGAAAAAAGGATTGGGGATTATATGGACTTGAACTATGGAAAAGGTTGAAATGCATTCAAGAAAGCAATAAAGACTAGTGAACCAGAAACTCCCTGCTCACTTATGATAAAATATCTAGTTAATACCAAATAAAAGATTCAAATAGACTTGTTATGGCTCTTTATAAAGTCTCCCTAAAATAATGCCCATATCCTCCTTTCTTTAAAAAGCACTTGCACAAATAAAAGTGTTGCCTTTAGGAAGGAAGATGGGCTACAGGGAGTAAGCAGCTTAGTTAGAAGAAAAAAAGATACACAAGGAATATGATTGCTGAACTTGAAATTGTTCTGAGACACTGCACCAAAAATCTTGCCTTGCAAAATAGACCCACATTTTATTTTTATGAGAAAGCCCGGGCCATCTTGAGCATAAAAATGCATGTTGGTTTAAAGAAGAGACAAAAACCAAACTGACAATTGCTGCAGAGCATTAACAGCTGCTTTTAAAAGAGCAACTGTTAGAAACACCAAGTGCACACCAGAGGGTTTGGATAATGACTGGGGAAGTTAGGAGGACATCTTGGAAGAGGTGGCAATGCAGTTAGTTTCTGGGGGATCAAGTGAAGTTCACTAGGATGGAAGATGGCTTCTGATCTCACAGTTTGCTTTGCACTGCCAAGGGCAGAGAGAAGGCATCGGTAATGCGGGCCTTAAGGAAAGAGGAAGCCACCCGGCTAGCAAAATACAAGGGTCTGTCAAATTGTACACTAAGGAGAGTTCGTCTTCTTTCTTTGTCTTTCAATTACTTGATTTTGCTTATAAGACATACAATAATCTCCCTCTTACCTGTAGTTTTGCTTTCCAGTTTCAGTTACATGTAGTAGTCAACTATAGGAGCAAAATAGTAGATGGACTCTTCCAAAAGTAAACACTCCAGAAGGTTTCAGTTGCCTATTGTTCTGCATAGTGTGATGAAACCTCATGTGGTTCCTCTTGGAAATGAAGCAGATGGTCCTCTGTGGTCGGGAGCACAGTGGTGGCCCAATGCCATGTCACGTCATTTGCCTCACTCTACAGTATCATCACAAAGGCACTGCCTCATCTCGCAGTATCACCAGAAGAGTGAGCACTTCATAAAATGATGTTGAAACAGAGAGACGGAGATAGGACATTCATAGACTGTTGTTATAGTTTGTTATAATTGTCCTGTTTTATTGTTAGCTACTGCCAATCTTTTACTGCGCCTAATTTACAAATTGAACTTTGTTATAGGTACATATACACAGAAAAAAAACCACAGGAATTACATGGCTCAGACTATTCAGTTTGAGACATCCATTGGGGGTTTTGGGATGTATCCCTCACAGATACAAGGAGGGATAACTGCATGAATCTGAAAGGCTGTGATTAGAACATGTAGCAATGTTTAACCTCCAAATCTTAGGAAATAGCACGCATCAGGTCAAGCCTGATTCTTCTCCTTTCAGCATAATCAATCAATCAATCAAGTCAATTCAAGATTCTTATTCTCCTATTTCAGGAGAGTTGCTATAACAAGTTCCCGTAAACTTGGTGCCTTCAAACAATAGAAACTGATTCTATCTCATGACTGGAGTACAGTCTGAATTCAGGGTATTCACAGCTTTGGCTCTTGTTAGAGGATCTGAAGAAGGATCTGTTCCCTGCTTCTCTTCTGTCTTCTGGTGACTGACCTAATCTTGGAATTGTTTCATCTGTAGCTGCCACCCTCTAGTCTCTGCCTCGGTCTTTACAAGGCCTTTGTTCTGTGTATCTCTGTGTCTTTTCTCTCTCTCACTTCTTATCAGGACACTCATCACAGACGCACTGGTAATACAACTTTAACATGTTGCAAGATACTTAATTTCATTCTGCCAACAAAGTCCTTACTCCTAAGTAAGATTACAGTGCCAGGTACTGGGGTCAGGACCTGAACACATGTTTTAGGGCTCCTTTCAACATTCCATTTTAGTTTTATAAGCATTCTCTTCTTACCAAGAAATTGATCCTATAATGTTAGGAAGTGAAAATGAGCAATACTAGGTGGATAGGTGCATATCTAGAAAGCAGAGCTTGAGGCAAGCAGAGTGCTGATGCTTTACTTGAGAGTTAAATGTCCAGGACAAGGAAGGTGAAGGAGAAATGAAGGTGACACAATAAAACTCCGAAGAGAATGCTTTGCACTGCATTTTGGTGTGGGCCACTATGTCCTGAGAGACAATAAGGAGACACACGAGGTTTGCTCAGCAAACGTGGTGACTTTGTGGATGAACTCTTCTCAGACAGTGTTGCAAAAAATTACACACAGGAAATAGCTCCATAATGGAGAAAGGGTGAGGAGAGTATTTCCCAGATCCTTTTATTGCCTGGTTCCTTCAGTCGAGTTTCAGGCCATAGGAAACAAACGCCTGTATACTCCATGGTTAAGTCATCTGCCCTTCAGCATCCTCAGGACTTTGGATGCTGGACCTCATGGTATGAAATTCTGTCCAAGATCAGAAATAAAGGGAGGACTCAAGAAGGCCAGGAAGATTGGGAATGAAGGTCATACAGGCTCAGAGTCTGACCCCAAGCAAGTTAGGGAGGCTGGGAAATGTTCCTGAAAATATGGATGCCAAGTGGGCCAAAGGTGAGTGGTCCTTTCTCAAAGGAGGAGGTTGTTAAGGGAGCTCAAAGGTTTATATTTTATGTGTGATGTCTTATGTATCAAGGCATAACATTGATGCAGTTTCTCACATTGTTTACTGTAAGTGGTAAAGATATTTTACTTGCTAAGTTTTTCTAAGAAGGAAAGAGATGACAGACTCCATTAATTTACATTTCTATTTCATAGATTGCAATCTACCAACAAATAGTAAATATCCTGGACCATGTTGGCTTAGAATAATTTGTAATTTATATTGTAAGGTAAAACCTAGATTATGAAACGGTATGTGTATCTTTTACCTGGATTATTTACTCTTGTATATAACAAGCTGAGAGCAAAGAAAAAGAAATTGCATCTACCCAACCCAAGCTTTTTTTAAAATTATACTTTTAATGGTGAATCTTGCTAGAATCATAATGAAGCTCTGGAAGAAATAAAAACTTATGATCAGAACAAGCATTATAGACATTTATGTAAAACTGGAAGTGAATAGTATTTTCCCATCTGTTACTAATTCATAACCGGATTCTCTCTGGGATTGTGACTGAAGAACATTTTTATAATTCATTTCTTGGCTTCAACTGTTGGGGAGTTCTCGTCTTTGTTAATTTCACAACATCAGATGTTCATGAGGAAGTTACCATTATGACTCAGAGTCAACACGTTATCAATTCCAAGAGGGGAGGATGTAGCCAGATAAAGTGGTGAATCTGAGGTTTTAAAATAGAGCTGTATTTCTAAACAGTCTATGCTCCAGGAAACGGAGAAGCTAGGAAATGGCTCTAGGGCTGGATTTGAGGATCCCATATGCACAATCGCAGCACACCAGGGCATTCCACGATGTAACAGCCCTCTCTGCCTCCTGCCTCCACTGATGCCAAAATCCACTAACTGCTCATTAGCAAAGGTGAGTGAACATTTGACAGAATAAAAGTGATCTGCCTGGGTAGAGAGGAGAAAGGGAAGGAAGAAGTGGAAAGAGTTGGGGGAAGAAGAGAGCACATGAAAGATGTCCAAAGAAATCTAAGTTTAGATAGTCCCAATGTTTGACATTTTAGTTTAGAGCAACTTTATAAAAATGAGAAAATCAAAATTACTATTTCCGTTTTTTTCCTTTTTGAGACAGGGTCCCAATATGCAGTTCAAGCTGATCGTGAACTCACTTTGTAGCCCAGGTTTGCCTTGAACTCCCAATAATGCTCTTGCCTCAGCCTCCTGAGTGTTGGGTTTTATAGGCATACACCATCATGCCCAGTCCCAGATTATTATTTTTAATAACAAAATCCAGAAGCAAATATTTTCAAAAGCCAAAGAATTTACACACAGAATATCATTTAAGTAACCAACTGCTTGGCTATTTGTGAAATGCATAAAGCAAGACAAAATTAGACTTAATAAGATTTAGTGTATTTTAGCAAGATCTATGAGTTTTAGTGAAGTAAATATGCCTTTCAGTTTTTCCTCTGTCATAAGCAGTGAGCAGGTTAATTCCTAAGTCTTACTTATATGTAGGTAATTAGAAGTTACAAGGTTTTTAGTATGGAAACAATATTTTTTGGTTTATTTGATATACAAGGTGATCTGAAATGACAAATTGTAAATGGAAGCATAAACACATGTTTCTCAGAGCAAGAATCTTGTCTCTCTGAACCAGATGAGTTGCTCTGCAGTATTATATTACTGAACCAAAGACTGAGCAGCTATAAAAAGTATTGATAACACACACACGTGTGCACACACATGCATATGCACACACACACACACACACACACACACACACTCGGAGTACTGAAGATTGAACCCAGGACCATTCCACTGAGTTACATGCCAAGATGTTTTTATTTTTATAGTTTACTTTTGAGACAGCGTCTCACTTAATTGCTAAGTTGTCCAGTCTAGTCTTGAATTTGTGATTCATTTCTCCTGCTTCAGCCTCCCAAAGTACTGGGATTACAAGGTTGTACCATGATGCCCAGCTGGTACAACATTTATAAAAAGCATAATCATAATATGAGTCAGGTTAAAAATGTTTAATTAGTCTGAAAAGTTACTCTAAAAGCAAATATTTATCCTAAGTAAATAATTCTCATTTAAAGAAAATATTTCTACTCAAAGTCACTACCACATTGTTCACCATAGTGACAACTTCAAAATTATTTCAATGAATCACTTCAATTATGAAAAATGTGGAATACACTTTCATTGGATAAGTTGTTGACACTTATTTTAAAGCTCATTTTTAAAGAATTTTATGTAGTATTGTAGAAAGACATCTCAGAGAAAGATTATTAAGTCTAGTTATGCATGGACATGCTAAAATTGGTTTGTGCTAGCGCAGTGCTTTTTGGTTATTGGAAATGGAAAAGCAGGAAGAAAACAAGCAGACAAATAAGCCAAACCAAAAATGATTGTCTACTATAGTTTTTAGATCTATAAGGCTAATTAAAAAAAACTTCAACCAAAATAATATAAATTAAGAGTATTAATGAAAGTTTCCTCAAAATTCTCTAATAAACCTATGAGACCCATGCTGATATCATCTTGCGTATGAGAATAAGGTAGGTTAGAAATAGTTCATCACCTTTCTGTGTTCTCATAGCTGTCAAGTGGTTGGATGGAGCTTATGAATTCAGGTTGGTCTGCAGCAAATTTGTGTTACTGTGCAGATAGCATATAAATACATGCATATATATATATATATATATATATATATATATGTATATGCTAAGCCTAGTGAAGAAAGGATTACAAAATAGTAAGAAAGGTGGCAAGATGAAAACCATGAAAAAATGAAAATAGAATGTAAAGATATAATGAGTTCTGAGATAATAAAATAGGCAATTTTGGGGTAAGGGAAAATTGGATGAAAAATTTTAATCAGACTTTCTAAATTCAGTATCTTTTATTAATTTTTTCAGCACTATCGCCAATGACATCAACAACAAAAGCATAGAAATAATAAAGATGTACATCCATAGGGGAATGATGGACTTAATGATATTCTAACAAGATATTATGAAGATATATTGAAACTTATCACTGTGAAAACTGTAGAAATATGGAAATGGTTTTGATAAACCATAAAATGAGTAAATCAGGACACAAAGTGTACTGGGGCATATTAATGTTATTCTGTAAAAATATGGGCCTATTCTCAGAAACTGGGATAGAGCATATACAAATAGAAATAATTGCATTTTGGATAATATATGTGTTTGAAATAATTGAGCTATTATATCTTCTTCTCCATAATAGATGCAAATATATACACATATATTTTAGGTATCATGAGTTTCACATCTTTAGTCATTTTAATATATAGAGTTCAATCACATAAAAGAACAAATTTTTTTTGTGCCCATGCAGAAAGAATAGCATAAATGGAGCCATTGTCTCCATTTAACAATCTTCAAAATTAACTGTTTTGCATAATTCATTCTTATTATTGCAAAACTAATGTGAAGTTTGGGAAACTTTAAGCTCAAGTATCATCACCAAATGTAGTGGAAATTTCATCTTGTGTTGGAAGTTGAAGATCTATTCATCTCAAAACCTATCACTGCTCTTGATCCTCCATATGAGCCTGGAACTGCAGCCCTTTTTAGTTAATGGTCAAGTGTTAAGGGTTACTCCATAGTGAACAAAGGGGCAAGAATATAAAGAAGCTGGAAATTCCATGTCTGGTTGTGAGAGAGAGGTAAGTAAGCATAACACGAGGCAGGCACATTGGTGTCTATTACCAGGATCTCAGGAGCCCTGTGAGGTTGAACCAACAGGCTGGGCTCATGAGTAAGATCAAGCTTCACCAAAGGATATAACCACCTCAGCAGGTGAGAGTAATTGTAATCAGATATACTGACAGATCAGATGCAGACAGAGAATGATTTAGATCAAGGGGGAAATGTTGAAGGTGATAGCTAAATGAGAAGTGGAGCAGGAATTCATTCATTACTTTATTTATTCTTTCTATTCATCTATTTACCCACCTGTCCATTCACTCACCCATCCATTCATTTATTCAACCACTTATTCATCCATCTATTCACACAGCCAGCAAGCCAGCCAGGAAATCATAACTTTGCAGAAATTGAAAGACCTTGAGAATGTTTGGAGCAAATACATTGCCTGGGATTAGTATTGACAAAGTTGTTAAAAAGGAGAAGAGTTAAGAAGGGTTTTTTTTTTCTTTATTTAAACATTAGGCTTTATCCTGATTATGAGAGGAAACCGTAGAAAAAGTTTGAGTAGCCAAGTAACAAGAGAATTATCTTTTAGAAGCAAATGAATAGTAATCAACATACAGCCACAAAAAAGTCACAGACTTTGATTTCCCAGAGAAAAGGGAGTGTCTGAGTTGTCTGACCAAGCCAGGGAAGAGGTGTTCTAGCAGGATTTCTGACATTGGAGTTTCAAAGCGTCCAATTATTCTGGGAAACCACTCCTTTTTTCTTTAATCATAAATGACCACCATCTATCAATCAGGCATTTAATCCACCAAGTTCTGCTGAGCTGAGACTGCTGCTTTTCACAGTCAATCTTAGCTACCACCTTAAATTCACATCAAACTTGTGACTAGCCTTAATATAACCGTATTGGAGAACTGGAAACACGCTAAAAATTAATCTAGTCCCAATTTTATCACTATGATGACACCATTGTTCTTCTTCAAGATGTATCCAGGTAAGAAACAAATAATGAAATGGTAAGTGAATGTTTTCAAAAGGTGAGGCAAACAGATTTCAGCTCTGTAGATGTCTTTCAGGCTTGGAGAAAAGTGCAAATGATTTACCATAGATTCTTTCCACTCACCAAACTACCCTGCAGTAACCCAAAAATATGACAGCTGAATATCATCTATGTTAAATTACTTTTTCAATAGTAGATGATTTATAGTTGATTAGGTAATTAAATCAAATACAAGTGGCTGAAAGTAAATCTATTTTTATCATCCCTGTAAATTAAAAGTTACGCATCATAAAAAATCATGACCATCTTGAAAATGACTAGTCAAGTGCCTTTTAGAAGCAAGCAGGATTTATTGTCAATTAACTTATTGAACTGTATAGTCAGCATAACCCTGTGCTCAAGACTTTTGAAATTATTGGCTTCCGCTGCTGAGCTGCCCCTTATCATGGTAATGAAATGTATTCAACTATTCTCATATTGCACAATTCCATAGGTTGGGTTTATATCTCACTATAACAACATTTCATTTTACTATTATCTCCAGTCCTCTGTAATGAATACAAATACATCCTTTTCTCCATCACGAGTTTATCAATTTCCACTGATTCATCTATAATGAATACAGTCAGGAAAAGAAAGCTAGACAGATCATATCCATTAAAGTGTCTTTAGCTTCAAAAGTTTGTCTGTGGCATTGTTTAATTAAAAAAGAAAAAGAAAGTCATTGGGAAACTAATTAAAAAGAGACATTACTTTCAGGCCTACTTATAAACAAGAAGTCAATAATTATTACATAAAGGGACTTGGGAGCTATTGTACTTAAAGAAATTTTAAATTTGCATGCAACTCACTTGAAAAAATAAAATGGTTAATTCTTATCAAATATGTAGTGCTTATGGGTAAATTCACATTATCTACTTGTGATGTTCTACATTTTTCTTAGTTAATGAAGTTCAACCAGAACAGCAAAGGCTAACATGTACTTATGACAAGTTCAATTTTTATAACAAGGTAAATTTTGTAGTTCACGCAGATGTGATAGTAGGGTGGGGTTGGTTGGAGCAAAGTTTTATAAACTTACCCCAGCTGTCTGTCATTGAGAAATTCATTTTTTTAGTCATACAAATCTCTATCTATTTTTCTTACAAAGAATTTTTTCTGTTCCAGATACCACTGTGGAATCACACAAGAGGCTTTCCCAAGGCCACATGGCTCATGCATGCAGGCCAAGCTCAAATACTGACTCAAAGCCAAAGGCTTGGCCCACCTTCAAGAGAGTCAACAAATATCTCCTGATCAGAACAAGAACATATATTTTCACTTTCTGCAAGTAAGATTTCCCCATTCATTTTCATTTCTGGTGACTTCTTATATTGTTTTCAAAAAACACGTCGAGGTTATAAGTGGAATGTGCAAAGAAAGCAGCCATAACAGGGTCAAGTTTATTATAGAGATTTCTGCAGTTCTTCTCAAAAGTCAATTCCCACTGCTGTAATCTAAATCTAACTGGCAACATTTTCACCAACATTCATAGTCCTATGCATTGTATCTATTGGATTCAGCATTTGTACCTCCAAGTGATGGTATCACTTGGTATAAAATCAAGTGATTCGGTACCATCTAAAGAAGGAGACAAATTTGTGAACTAGCAAGATTTCCTTCTTGCTCCCATACTATAGTAGCTGGAGCTGTTAGGAGTATCCTGGTAAAGTTTCCAGTTTTGTACCACCCACAGGGATGCTAAATCAATACAGTTTTGATGTTGGATATTCTTTCATTGGATAGAGAGATTAACTTTGAGAAAGTTATTTCTTAAGCTTTCCTTTTTAAAGCCTAAGATATAGAAACTGTGACTTATATAAAATGACCATGAAATTTGTCACCAAGGAGGCCATGGCATACTCCATATAAAGTGGGACTAGTCGAGACAAAATGTGGAATATATTGTTATTATTTCCCTACATCTTCTACCCCTAGTCCATGGTTGGTGCCAAGTAAAATGGGTTGGAATACTTAGCTTCTATTTTTATTCCACTGGAACTCAATAGGCTAATGTGTTCCATGGAGTCCCAGCATTGCCATTACCTGGGGACTTGTTAGAAATTAAGAATCTCACACCTCACAACATATTTACTGAATCAGATTCTTTACTTTAACAAAATATTCATGATATTCATTAATACACTAAAGCAATGAAAAACCTTGGTCTTGGTATAGACTCTGTTGTTCTTCACTTTGACTGCCCATTAAAATTATCTGCATAGTTTAGGAACTAATAAAACCACATTCAACACCCCACTGACTCAATAACTCCACTGTTTGCAATATAACCTGGAGAAGCTTTCACACATATGCACAGGGGGACATTTTCAATGTTCCGACATGACCTCTATGGCTGTGTGGAAGCAAAAACTTGGAAATATTCCACTTATCCACAAAAAACTAGAAAAATAAGGTGTAACAAATGCAAATGATGGAATATTAAGAGCTGATGTTACTTCCATTTATATAGATATGTATCTAAATACATATTTCAGAGAGCAAAGAAAATGTTGTGATGAATAATCTCAGTTGTAATCTTGGCTGTCTTGAGAGAAGCCCGGGAAACGGGCAAAGCACACTTTTGAGTATATTTGGGTAGACAACAGGGTAGGACTCTGGGAACCATCTGGTCCCGAATCCCTTCCTCTCTGACTCTTCTAATTTCTCTGCTTCTTTGCTGCCATCAGGTGAGCAGTCTTCCTCCATCACACTCTCCTGCCCTGATGATTGTACCTTAGAGCTAACTTAACATGGACTGAAAACCTCTGAAACTGTGAACCAAAATGCTTCCCCTCCATGCTGTGCAGGTTTTGAAAACAGATACTTTCTCCCTGTAGTGAAAAGTTGACTAATGCAATGGTCAAAGAGTACCTAGAGTTAGAAATGTATGCAATATTAGCATATTTAGGATTATAGAATATATTTTATAGGCACACACATATTTATAGACACAGTATGCAAACAAATGTGGAAACAGTTCATAAATTTAGGTAAAAGGCAGTTGCTGCATTAGGAAAGAAAAAAGTGTAATATTATCAGAAGAGGTGAGGGGGAACTTTAATTATATTTGACCTGTTTTATTTTTAGGCTTGGTAGTAAATACATGAATTTTGGTTTTGTTTTCTGTTTATTTTTCTTATATGAAATATTTTACAATAATATCTAGAATACGTATTCCCAGGTTCTGCTCTATGCTTATTAAAGACAGCTGACCAAAAATGTGGCTCCAAATTCAGTTTGAGCACTTGGGGCAGTTTTCATGGGTAACCACATTTAGACTCTCAGCATAGATGATGCCCAAATAATTTGAAAAAATATGCATGGATCTCTATTAAAGTTACCGACAGAAGCAGTCTGTTGTCATAAAAATAGAGGTTTTGAATTCAGAGTGGAATTTGAATCATATTCTCCTATGCATCTATAGGCAATTCCTTGAATGCCCCTAAGACTTGCTTTATTCATCAACAAACAAAATTGTTTTGAGGATTAAATGGAAAAAATAATTGGCACAGCAGACTGTCTACAGTTGGCCACTAATCATGTTATTGTAAAATCCCAAAACTGAGTTTCCATTGGTGAATGTTTAAGCACCCAGTCACACGCCTTCACTTTTAGGGTGCATTCCATGTGCCAGGGTATAAATCCAGAATCAGTTCCTGTGTTTAAAGACCCAGAAGTCTACTGGAGAAACAGACAAGGTCCAAATAGTGAGCTCTGGTTTTTGTCCAATTCCACATCTTTGGATGACACGTTCTTTTGGGGCATGCTTCATATACCACTATCCAATTACCTTTGTGTTCTGTCTAATTCTGGAGGACTGTCAAATTTGAATTTTGGCCCCCTGTCTACATGCCTGGTAAGTGACCTAGGCCAGGCAATCATCACAGTCCTCCTGGAGAAGGGATGGACATGAGATCCTAATTGACCAATAGGAAATCTTCCCTAGGATTTTTCTCAATGGAAATTTAGTGAAAAATAATATCTTTCCATGTAACTATAAATCAGAATTTTGCAAACTTTAGCTGCATTTAGCTATGGCTTCTTGTTTCCCAGTTTTGAGTAAGAAGCCATTAGCACAGGGAGCAAAACTTAGATAAAAGATAATGATTCACCTAGGTTGCTTGGATCTGTGTCTTCTAGCTGTGAGAACTGAGTAAATCCCAATTTTCTTTGTTTAAATACATAAATGCTGGATTTCTCAGTCAGCATCAAACAACATGGTCATGAAAAAATATGTCTTAAGGCAACCCTTCTCCCTACGGCTACTAGGAAAAGGGAGGGAGATTGGAGGAAGAGGATATCAGGGAAAAGAAAGAGGGGAGAGAAGGAAGGGTGGCTGAGATTAAATATAATATGGCATGCATGGAAATGTCCCAGGGAAGCCCACTAATTTGCACAATTAATAACAGTTAATATTTATAGTAAAACATACCAACCCCTAAAAGACAAACAAGCATAATCTGCTTAGTGCCTAATTATAAAGTCAATTATTATTAATTTGCAAAATCATTTGACAAATTTTTAATATTCATTGAATTTAGTAATCCCAAAGAATTTCCCACTCTTTCACCCTATTTGATTAAGTAATCTAAGAATTGTGTCTCTGTACCACCTATAGGACACATTTGGCTCCTAGGAATGGAAATTCAGCCAGGGTCTTGAACTCACAACAATTTATTCATTAACATAAAAATAGTCTAAAGCTAGATAAATCAGGGCTTTTAGGGTAGTTTAACAGGCTCATCATGGACATAGGACACCTTTTAAGTTTCTACTTTGATAATTCTAACACAAATTTCTATATACAAATTCTCTTTATAGATCAAGGTGGCTGCTGGAGTACAAGCCATTGCATCTACATAGTAACAAGCAGAAAGAAAGAATGATGGTGATGACAGTCTTCAGCAAAAGACTTTTAAAAATCATATACAATATTTCCAGTTAGACTTCACTTACCAGACTTGTAAACAAGAGTGCAAATACAGTCCTTGAATTTGAGACTGTAATTTCTGAATAAGATCAGATTCTGCTAGTAAGTTAAAAAGCAAGATTAGGTGTGAGGCAAGCAGTGAGCAGTGTCATCAATTTTTGCAAATCAGTGGGTGCTCTCTAAGCACTGGCCATTAAACCACAAGACCATCCTCAGGACCTCAGAGCATCCTGTTCTAAGAAAGTACAAAATAAAATCAAAGTTGTTCAATAGGAGGGAGGTCTTAAGAAATATATATATATATATATATTTCCATTTTGTAAATGAAGGGGCTTCACCTGGGCCTGGGGGAATCTGGAAGAATGGCGTTAGATTTGGGCTGGGTGACCAGGGCAAAGGTGTGCTGTCTGGGGGTGGTGGATGTGTTTGTGTGTGTGTGTGGGGGGGGGGCACACACCTAAACCTCAGGGGAGTAGTCCCAGAGGGCTCAAATGCTTCCAGCCTAGACATAGCAAAATAGGAGGGAATGGAGCTGTATAGCAGTTTACTTAAACAGCTTCCTTCAGACATTTTCACCGTAGAGCAGACTGAGAAGCTGCTTATGTAGAAGGTCTAGACAGTTGATACTGTATTTCAGAGTCAATGGCCCTTCATTCTTTGTTTCATGTACTCAATTCTGTTTCCTTATGAAAACAAAGCAGTCTTGACAATAGTTAGACAAAGATGTCTGCCATCCAACATTCCAATAAAGTTTTATTTATAAGAACAACAGCCGCCCACAGGTTGTAATTTACCAATTTCTGCCCTTGTCCAAAAGCTGACTTATTCTTCTGTTCTCCTTTTTGAAAATGAGATCCAACAACTTTCTGTATATGATGAAGCAATGGATAGTTGCAATCACAAGAAAAGTAGGAACATCCTATTGACTGTGTTAGAAAATTACGAAATGCCATTATTTTTCTGGAGTTTGTAAATTTTTTCGGCATTTATTTTTCATTTATTTTATTTTACTTTTGTCTTCTTTTTTCCTTAAATAGGCACTCCAAAACTATGTGAGCTTTAACTCTCCTCTCCCAACACACACTCACACATGCACGTACATGCACACGCACATACATACATAACCCAGATCTTTTCCTGCCCAAAGGCACGAGAAAATTGCACATCGGGGGGACTGAAAGTAATTTGGTATTGCTCATGCGAAATAGAGAGGTGATTAAAATCACAGTCGGAAGGCCTGGGTTGAAATCTGGGTATTACCACTTATTAGCTGGAAGACTTGGAAAAGTTATCTTCTCTCTGCTTTTTCTTTTTTTTTTTTTGCCCCTCTGCCTTTCATCTGTAAAAGGAAGATAAGAACATTTCTAGCCTCAGAGCATTGTTGAGGGGATGAGATGAGAGAATTCACACTCAGGAAGTGCAATATACAGTACACAGTGAAGACTTAATAAATGTGGGTCGTGAAGATGCAGCAATGAGCAAGGAATGTTGCTGGACAAGGGTGCAAACGGTTCCCGATTCAAAGGGCCCTGTGTGCTCCTGCACAGATTCGGAATCTATTAGCAGACAGGAGGAAGTGGCAATTTCCGCCCATACTTGCTCACAGCTCCCACGCGCTGCAGCTATGATTTCTGGACTCTAAGAAAGGAGGCCAAGTGGTTGTCTCTCCCTCAGTAACTGCAGTGGCAGTCAAGTTGGAGGTTTAGTTTCCAAAATCTCTCCTGGTACAATTTTCTGCTGAGTTATATCCACCAACGTTCGCAGTCCAGTGCAGAACGAAAGGAAAAGCATCGTAGAAGGCCGTTGCAAGTGTCCTAAAGGACTGGAGTAATTAAAGCCATCTATCTACAGAGCTGTGCAAGGGAAGGAGTGCGGATCTGGGATCAAATTATAGTGTCCAGGTCACTTCTCTGAGTATTCTTCACTGCCGTGGGCAAAGCCAGCCATCCTAACAGTGACAGGCAGGGGACTCCGGGCATACTGCCTTGCTGGCATTCTCTTCCTAAAAGCTCAGTCTGTGAGAAGGTGAGGCCAGGCCTTGGTATTGCACAAATGCTCAGACATGGGGCAGAATGGACATGAAAATCTCCTGAACCTGAGGGCCTTGTCTGGATTGAACAAGCAATATTCTTATACTCTTGCTGGGCTTCAGGTACTTTTCTTTTATAACTTTTAATGTGTTTAAAATACTAATACTACCACTAGCAATACTAATGTTTTTTGGTACGATTCTTTATTATTATTAAGCAACAACTCTAAGCATTCAGTTCTATGGTGGTAAAGAATAATTCAGTTTTACTCATGTCTGTGTCCCCACAGCTTGACATGGTGGAGGTGAAAAATAGGTTCATTGATAGTTGCTATATAAGTAAGTCAGTAAATTATAAAAAATTGTGCTCTGATATGTATGGAAAAAGAATTTCTTTAAAAAATATGTAAATGGATGTCCATTCACCTGCATAAACTCTATTGATGATTCATTCTTTCAATCATTCTTTTTACTTTCATTTTTTGAAATAGATTTACTGACATATAATCCATAAAGCAGACAATGTACCCATTCAAAATTTATTTACAGATTTTTAGCTTCATCATCACAATTAATGTTAGAACATTTCCATTTCCTGGAAACTCCACCCGATCCTCCTTACCTTCCCAGGCATTGGTCCCTCCAGCTTTAGGAATCCACCAATCTATCCTCTGTCTTTATGGCTTTCCTGATTCTGGACTTTTTCCATAAATGAAACTGTACATGCCATGATTGTTTGTGATTGATTTTTGGTACTAAATTTCATGTTTTCAAGGTTCATCTACATTGTATTGAAATCTCATTTCTTTTTATTGCTAAATAACATTTCATTACATAGTTATACTGTATTTATCTATCAGTTGATGAACATTAAGCTCTTTCTGTTTCTTGGCTAGTCTAAAACTTATGTAACCTGGAACATGACTTGGCACCTACTGTTTGCGAGACATCATCCAGGGTCCCTTTGTGGAGATGAGTAAGAGTTGACTTCTGCCCAGCAGCACATTGCATTTTTTGGGAAAGGCTATAGGTAAGCCTAAGTAACCTGAAAGATTTTTAAAGTAAAGGTTTAAAGAAATCCAAAGGAAGGAGCAAGCATGTTTGTTAGCCAGTGGATAGAGCCCGGATGAAAGCTGGACAAGACAGAGTTTGTAGGAAGAGTTGGAAGATCACCAGGTGGAACAATCAGAAAGAGCACATGTTTCCTGGGTTTTTAGTGTAGGGTGAGGAGACTGGATGTCCAGAAGTCAGAGGGCATGGCAGGGAGATGGCAAACCAGTGCTTCCCAACTCTAGAACAACGAAGAGCACTTCTCTCTCCGTTCAGATGCTGTACCAATCAGGATCTTTTCTCTGATACATTAAATAGCAAGTACTCATGGAGCACACTGTGTCTAGATGCTAGCAATAGAATGAAGAATAAAACAAAGTGTTTACCATCATGAAAATCATATTTTAGTGGGAAAGGATGTAACACATACATGAAAATGTGCATAATATATTTTCTTATCATTTTTTGCATATAAAAGATGAGATTTTCTATTTTCATGTTTCTACAACTTGGTTTTTAACTTTATGTTTTATCTAAACAGATATGCTAGCACTTGATACCATAAAAGTACTTGTGCTTATACTTTTCTAAAAACTCAGTAGTATTTATGCTAAAATCAGTGTATTTCTTTAATTAATTAATATAATGAATACTTATTTAGGTCTCCCATTTCAGATTTTATGGTGAATAATTTTGCAAAAAGCCTATACAGTACTTGACCAGTGACTGTGAAAGTAAGTTAGAAAAATTGAAATCACAGAGTAAGGAGTGTTTGCATTTTTAAATAGTCTATATGGTCAAATCATCCCATAGATGATCTGGAGTAAGTGTACACTCAAAAATAAAAGGGAACTCCTTATTGTTTTAAAACATTTTAATTAGGATGACCGACATGACTATATTTTAGAAATATTTCATAGAAACTGGTTTGACTTCAAGAGATGAATTTGAGGTAATGTCTTAGTCTGTTTGTGCTTCTAAAAGAAAATGTCACAGACTTAGAAATTTTTAATGAACAGAAGTTTATTTTGTCACTGTTTTAGAGACCGAGAGGTCCAGGCTAAAAGTACCATCAGGTTCAGTTGTATGGTGAAGACCATACTCTGCTTCCAAGATGGCACTTGCCTGCTCGATCCTACAGAGGGAACAAATGCCTCACCAGGGCGAAAGTGGAGGGCAGGAGAACAAAACCTGTGTTCTCTCTTTTGCAAATGTCTTAGTCTCTTTCATGAGGGAGGAGACCTAGTGACTGATCTCCTCTTGAAGTTTCCACCTCTTGGTCTCATCGCAACAGCCACCATGTTTCAGTATCTATATTTGTGGGAGGACTTAGTTAAGCTGTAGCAGGTGGATAGATTGAGTGAAGGAGAAACCAGCATACAGATAGTTAAGAGATTAATATGTGAGAAACAGAAGGCATGGCAAGTTAAGAATCTGGACAAGAGAGATGAGGGAGTAGAATATTTCAAAATGATTGCATTAGAAGTGAAAGGCTTGGACAAGTGCTTGCATCTCGAATATGAGGAAACTGAGGTCATTTGGGAGGAATCCAGCCTAGACTCTCAGCATCCCTTTCTGCTTCAACCCTTTGTTTTCCAAGACACAGACTTCAAAACTAATAGCGGACTTACCTTAAATGACCTAAAGTGAAGCTTGAAGGAAAAAAAAAAATCCCAAACTACCAATATGGGAAATTGTACTTGCTTTTTGGAAAGAGGCCCCGGACAGAGATTCCCATCTGGGAGAACATATGGGACCAGCCGTTCTCTCTGAAGAGGGAAAAATGTGGTGCAGAGCTGCCAGGGGAGCAGACGGCGTTCTTGAAAGCCATGGGCTTCCTCTGGATCTCTATTACTGAAACAAAACAGGGATTCATCAAAGAGGTCCCCAGGGGAAGCCATAGACCTAAAACAATATTACCTTTTGGTTTGGGGGGTTCAGTTTGAAGACATGACAAGTCCATTTGTTTAATAAATTCAAGATGCTAACAAATTTCATGGCTCAAAATGTAGATCCAAACAGCCCATTCCGACAGTCATGTTCCTATGAAAACATCACCCCCAGCAGCAACTCTGCATTTGATATTATTGTAAAACTCATTTGGTAGTTAAAGCAACTAAATCTTGAGAGGCACCAAGGTTTTGGAGAGAAAGGAAGTCTACTGTGGTGGTCTCTAGCCTTAAAAATGCCAGCGGAAACATCTTTTAGGACTGAGGTCAATGATAGTTTTTGTCTATCTCATGGTGTTAGGAAGGCAAAGGAGCAAAGCAGATGTGGAGTTCAGAATCGTTAGTAAATCCAGGACTCAACTGGCTTAAATGCCAGGACAGAGGGAAATGCAGGAGTGGAGCCTGGTAACCTAACCTGGAATTCCTCTGGAGTTGTTTGCTGTTTGCAGGTGAAGGATCAGAGGGGAGGTGAAAACACTAGGCAGATAGGTGCTGCTAGGGAGACTGAGGTTATCGTCTGACTTGAAGGAGATGGGATAGCATAGGGAGCTGCCTCCAATAGCTGCTGCTGCCCTGCCCCTCCTGCCTGAGGGCATTTTGTGTGTCAGCCTACATTTCCCATGATCCTCATGTTTGCCTACATTACCCATAATCCTCTCCTGCTTACGTCATATATACCGATGTGATGATGACCTATCAGATAACACTCTGTGCCCTCTTCCTGCCCTTGGCCCGCCCCCCACCCTATATAAGTTGTAGCCATTTTAAAAATAAACGAGACTGATTGGAATCGCATCCTGTCTCCATCTCTCTTTTCTCTTGCCCTGCCCCCATCCCCGATCCCCTCTCCAGGTGAGACCCATAGATTGGTCCGCAGGCCGGATCAGGATAAGACTAAGAATTTATCACAGAGCTTTAGTAAACATGGAAGCCATTAGTTTAGCAAGCTGAGGACCACAGTTTAGTAGGGGTGCTAAATGGAAACAGAGATGCTCTTAGAAGACTAAAGTATATTTTAGGACACTCTCTCCGAACATGCCAATTCTTTCACATTAAGGGAATTTGCTCCTACTTGAACTTCCTGCTAGAAGCTGAAGAAATACTAGCAGAAGAAAGCTAACAGTGTAGAGGGCCATTACAACACTGTATTTTCAAATATACATTTATGACACTCATTCAGCAAGATGTACATGAGGCCAGCTGAAAAACAGAAAGAACCAGCAAAAGTTTGAGTACTGGATGGAGCATAACCTGACTAAAGTATTAAAAAACTGAAAGACAAAATGGGAAACTTGATAGGATAACTGTATATATAAAAGCTAAATTAGGAAAACATGAATTTAATGTTATACTAAAACAATAAAACAAATCATCATCTATTAAGAGTATTCTTGAAAGAGAAAATGAGCTAACAGAAAGATCAGACAGAAGTTTAGGACAACAAAGATGGTTTTCTGTTTTTTTTTTTTTTTAAGGGCAAGAAAGTGATGTATGAGTTAGAATGTTTTGATCTAGTAAAGTGTCAGAACTGGATGAGAGACAGAAGGGATAGGAGCGATATTTGAAGAAAAATACTTTAAGAACTTCTCCAAAGGAGTGAAAGGCATTGACCCACAGATTCAACAAGCACTATGAATACAAAGTCAGCCACTCTAGCTTGCATTATGGAAAAACAGTTGAAAACTAAAAACAGTAATCTTAAAGGTAAAGAGGGAAACAAATTTCTATATCTTTAGAAAAATAATAGTTAATGTGAAAACAAATTCTAAGGAAAAGATGAAATCTAGAATGTACCTGCTGAAAAACAAAACAAAACAAACAAACAAACAAAAAAAACTTCCAACCTGGAACTACAGAGACACAGCAAAAAATTTAATTTATAAGTGTTGTAGTCAGAGGTTGTGCAGAAAACAATTAGAATCAGAACATGGAGTTTATAATATTATTTTTATAATGGTCACTGGGAGTTAACACAAGAAAATGCAGGAAATCTATCTGCAACACCAAAAACATAGAATATTTAGTCAAGGGCCTAAATCCCACAGCATTGTCCTCCATGAGTCCAAATAAAAACCCAGAGCTCATGACAATCCTCCCACAAGCCCAACTGGAGGTCCAGAGCCCACAAGAAGGACTCACGCCAGTCTCTTTTATGGATCTGTGCTGGGAAGGCCCAAAGGACAGCTGTAGAAGCCAAAAAGTCCATGCCAGTGGGTGAAGCAGCTGTGCTGGTGGGAAAAGGGTTCTACACTGGTGCCATAAAGTTACACTCACAACTAAGACCAGGGCTGTCCTAAAAGGCACCACAGCCATCCTCAGCAACCGAGCTCCTCCAATGATAAGCTCAGTCGGGTACATGCCAGAAAGTCAGTGTGATGAGTTTATCCTAGAGACCAAGCGGTACAAGTCTTTTTCCTGTGGAGCTAGAAAGTGATGCTCAATTTGAGGACCAGAGCTACTCCAGGAAAACCAATGGCTCAAACAGTAACTCATAGGAAAACCCACAATGTCTCAATGTAACAACACATTAATGCCTTTTTTCCCCCTTTTCTTACCTCTCTATGCTGGCAACTTTCCTTGCGTAGAGCATCTACACTCAGTGCCATGCTGATATAATCCAGCTGGCATTAAGTTGACTACCAGTTCTTAATCCATGAAAATAAGGAAGGGCAAAATAAAAGCATTTCCAGACAAACAAAACTGAAATAGCTTGCAGCAGATCTATACTAAAGGATATATACATGATTCCTTTAGCTCAGGAAAACTTATTCTAGTTGAAAGCATGAACAAACAGGAAGAAATGAGAAGGAATAAAAATTTGAAAACATTTGATATATATGTATTATATATATATATAAATGTATATCTGTTGTATAGAAAGACAATACTGTCTTATGTAATTAATTTATATATGGAGTTACAATATATGATGAGGATACCACAAAAGGCAAGAGAAGGAATAGATGGAGTTAAAATTCTAACATCAGGAAGGGAGTGACAGCTGTAACTCATAATTGATCACCATCAAGGTTGTGTTCTATAACCTCTAGAGAAATTGTTAACAGAGAAACAAAGATATGCACAATCATATTAAAACGGAGGGCATATGCCAGGACAAAAGCAGTCCAGTGCACAGAAGTCAAGAAAAGAGAGAGAAGTTAACACTGCACAAATAAGACAAATGGAATCACTAGCAAGGTGATGGAGTTAAACCTTAGTGTGTCTTACATTATATTCAATGTAAGGGAGTGAACGGGTGAGACTGAATGACTGAGATGGTCAGAAGCGAATAGATACAGATAGGTAGGTAGCTGGATAGATGGATAGCGATAGATGGATGCAAAAAATATCCCCTGGATATGAGGCCATGCTGGTACTGAAATGAAAGTGTGGAAAGGATATGCCTGCAGACACTATCCAACAGGAAGCAGACATAGCTATGCTAATATAAATGTTGGCCCAAGGGAGATTGTAGCTGGACACAATAGGTGGCATCAGCCCAAGGAAAATCTGGGATTTATTCATTTATTCCACACATGGTCGCTGTATTTCCACTGTGGGCCCGGGAAGGACAGCTGTCAGAAGCCGGTGCTTCAGCCATCAGGGAAATGAGCTGGAGAGCGAGCTTAGGAGGAAGGGCGAGGTGGCAACTCATTTCAGCCACGTGGGAAGCGGCTTCCAATTCTTTTCTCTCTGAGAAAAGAAACTTTTTTTTTTTTTTTAACTTTTTGAGAAAAATTCTTTTAAAAATTTAAACTAAGACTCTGATTAATTGAAGAAAATGAATGAATAAAAAGCCTTTTAAAGTCTTCGCTCATATGCGCATTTTTATTAGGCTAATGGCAAAAAGGACAGGGGTATTTGGGTTGCTGCATGAATAAAGCAGAGAGGTGAACTCAGACTGTTCTCTGTGGCCGTGTTTTTCTTTGCACAGGGCTCTCTCTGGACCAACTGATGTAAAGTACGAGGGTGGCACAGGAGTCTTCTGAAGTTTCCAAGATTCTGTTACTTAAAAAATGCCTAAAGGCCATCTTAGAAGCCTAACTTGAGCACTTAAGAAGAAGTGGCCTCTTGAAAGTGATCTGTAAGTTCTAAGCCTGAAGAACAATAGATTTACAATGCTAAAAATATATTTCATTGTTGTTATTGTTTCATATCAGCTAGTATGTGTTGAATGCTCATGCTGTATGTCCTAATGACAAATCTATTCTTAGCTCATTTTATAACTGACTGAACAGAATCTTACCTCAAGAGATTTTTCATGTTGACTTGGCTCATAAATGTGGTAGAGATTAAGTTCTCTGAGGAACAGTCCTCTTTATGGTTCTTACGGAGGATGTTCATGTTCCCTCAGAATCTTAGCCCCAGTGTGATGATATTTACATGTGGGACTTTCGGTTGGAAGGTAATCAAATAAAACAGAGCTGGAACCAGTAAGTGGAACCTCCATGATGGGATAGGATCCTTATAAAAAGAGGAAGAGAATTCGAGGTCTGCCTCTCTTTGACCAGATGAAGACACTAGGGGAAAGAAACTGTTGGCTAGCCAGGAAAAGAATCCTATCAGGAGGCAAATCAGTTGGCACTGTGATTTTTGAATTCTCAGTGTTTGGAATTCAGAGATATTAAAGCGAGCTGTTTAAACCACTCCATCTGACCCTAGTTATTACACCTGAATTGATAAAGACCATGGTCCTCTTCTTTCCTCATCTATGCCCATTTCTTCCTCAGTGTTACCCTTGTAATTAAAAATACACCCCTTTTTCACCCCTCAACTACCTTGCACACAAACTAGGTTGTGCATCGGGGGCTGCCTCGGCTTCCATGAGAGATTATAGCTGATGCTCCAATTAATTATGCAGCAGCCTCTTTGGCTAATAAAATCTAAACAAAGAGCTTTTAATCCAATTCATCGTTTTTTCTCCATCGTGAGCAGCCTGTCAAACACAATCAGATTCGGCGTGCGAAGCAGAGAGAAGGCAGGCGTCAGCCCCACCTACTTAGCAGGGCTGCGAGCAGGAAGCTCCAAGTCAGAGAACAGTTGGCTGCGCAGATGGCAGAGACGGAAGACTTGGGGGAAAGCCACCCTCTGCTGCAGCATCGCATCGGGAAAGGACCATTTGGGGGTTGCGGGCAGCGAGGCACTTCCCTGTGCCTCTTGGCTTGGTCGCGCCAGTGTATGAGAACTCAGAAAAAGTGACATAAATATTTACCAGAGGATGTCTATATAATCAACACTTGATACAGTCAATCTCTAATAAAAAATCACTGGTTTCCCTCTTTTATAGGTAAAAAGAAAGAAGACCTAACATGCAATGTAAATTACTTACAGTTGCATAGCTAGTAAGTAGAAGTGTAGGGATTTGAATTCTTATCTTCCAGATTCTCTGCCTTGTGCCAGTCTTATTGAAGAAGGCTCTAAGACATTCCTAGGGCAATAGTGCCTTATCCACCCTTGGCTGAAATGCTGGATGGAGCAGCTAGAAACCCGGAAACATGGTCTTACATTTAAAGTATTTCTGATACAAATGGGGAGAGAATTAGTACATGGGGCTAATTTTTCAATGTTGGGCTGTGTGGTCGTAACTCGACATAATAAAAAGGAGCAAATCGAATAGCCAAAAAGCTCATACCATCTCAGAACTGAAAAGGCCACCCTTGTTATATGTGAGCACATCCTTGGAACCTCTTGAGGGTGAAAATCATGTCTCATTTATTACTTTGATTACTGTCATGAGATAGTTATTGATTATGTAAATAAAAATTAATCTTAAAGAATAAAGAAATTCAGATATCATGTACTACATGTATATTTTGTGTGGAAGTCATGAACATCCTTGGGGAATTTCTAAAAACTCCTAGGGGAGAAATGCACATACAATTTTTGGAAGTCCAGGTCTCACAGAAAGCGATTCATTATTGTCACACTGAATATTAAGAAGATGATTCAGGAAATTGTGATACATTTTCTCAATTAAAAGATTCACAGTTTGAAATTAATATTTATCATAACACTGAGAGAAAATGTTTGCTTACAAAGGAAATAAACCAGGCCATAAACATTTTGTACAGCATATGAATTTTATTAGATACAAAATTCCCAGTAAGTGCTCCAGGTCTGATAAAACTATCTCTCTGTACATGTATGTGCCTCACTTGCCAGAGTGTGGTCTTGTGTAAGCTCCTGAATCTCTGATACCTGTGTCTCTTCCCTTCTTCCTCCCTCCCTCCCTCCTTCCATCGCTTCCTTCCTTCCTTCCTTCCTTCCCTTTTCTCTCCCTTCTTTTCCTGCTTTTGTGGTACTAGCAATTGCAATAAGCCAAGGCTTCAAGACCTTTGCAATAAGCCACATCTCAGTACTTTTTAGATTTTATTTTGAGATAAATTCTCTTTAAATCACTAACTTGCCCAGGCTGGGGCTCAGACTTGCAATCCTCCTGCTCCAGCCTCCAAGAGTACTGGAATTACTAAAGATTGTATCTTTTTATAAAGTTATCTATCACTGAGGAAAACCCTTCCTAAAATTACTGTGTTTTATTATTTTTACTCTATAATTTATTCCCATCATTTTATATGCTCACACCTATAAACAAATACACACTTATGAATGCATGCATACACTAAATAGTTCAGAATTTACCTCTGAGGTGGAGAGTAAGATTGTTTGTAGAAGATGGTAACCTGATAAACAGCGACTTCAAATATTTTTTCAATAAAACATGAATCATACATTACTGTAAATCAAAATAAAGGAACGTACAACAAATGTGGAGAATTGTAGCAAATGGAAACTACTCTTTCCTCTACACATTTTGTTCATAAGATGGGATGTTTTCTGCATTCTGAAATTATATAACCTCTTCAAGATACGGTGCCTAAATTGAGTCCCACTTTTTGTCTTGAATTTTGCCTGGAAAGAGAGGAAACATGCAAATATTCGCTGAACAATGCACAACCGCTGCACTAGAGAACAGGTATCTGGCGGATTGATCCACTACCACCTGGTCTCTTACCTCTACAGCTTATATCGCGAGGTAAAGGCCCTCCATTCTGCAGGGCCAACCTATTCACATGAAAGTACCATTACCATATAATTAAACAGTGGAACTGTGAGCAGAGGTTGTTAAGTATCTACTTCCAATGTTAAGTTTTCCATTCCAGAAGGGTGCTTCACTGCTCAAATAATAATATTTAGGCATGCATTTTTTCTGTCCACTTCCATCCGTGGAGACTTGGGCAGGAACAATTAGCAGTCCCTGGCAAGCTGCCCTCAGAAAAGAATGAGAAGATAACAGCTTCAGGAAACAAGGAGAACTTGTTAGTAGAAGGACATGTTAAGAGACTATCATGAACAAACTTTTGAAGGAATTTACCAAGCTTAAATGATCCAAATCACAGATTTCTATGAGAGTTTTTGTCACTGATAAAGTCAAGATGAAACCAGAAGTTGGGAGGACATGTTTCCTGATGAGGAGGGAATTTCAGAACCATGAGGAAAGAAAGGAGGGTAAAGGTATCTATCCCACCAAGGACAGCCACTGCTTCTGTCTTAACAATAGGAAGACGTAGGTGGATGAGTAGTTGCATAAAAGATAATCTCACCAATGACGTGATATTTTTTCAACAAAACACTGCCATTGTGTGCTCTACTAAAGGTGGGAGGGAATAATGACCTATACTTCAGCAATAACAGCAAGAAATGTGTCTCACGCATTTGTTTATTCGATAAATATTTTTATTTATTATATAAGTGCTGTTGGGCGTCTTCTGTTTGCCACCTCTATTCTAGGTATTGTCTTTCTAACAACTCACAAAATAGGTAAGGAGCTTGTTTTAGTTACTTTTTACTCGCCGCTGAGACAAAATACCTGATGCCCAAGTTGGGAAAGGAAAGGTTTATTTCTTACAGTTTTGGGAGGTTTCAGTCCACGCTCAGTTGGCTCCCAGGCAGGTGGGCATGGCTGGGCTGCAGTTCATGGCGGCTGCAAATAGCAAACTCGAACCAGCAAAGAGAAAGAGACACCTTCTTCCTGCCATTACATGACATCCTGGCTCTGCCCCCATGTGGGTGGAGCACTGACACCATCAATCCAAGCACTAGACAATGAACCAATCACAAATACACAATGCAAACTCATGAGGCCTGGGGGACACAGACATAAACCATGACAGAGCTTCCTTGTTAAGAATGAAGTTCAGCCCAGAAGAACTGAAAGCATCATACCACAGTGATTATATGTGCACCTATGTTTATAGCAGCACAATTTGTAATCGCAAGATCTTGGAAACAACCCAAGTGTCCATCAACTGAGGAATGGATTAAAAAGTTGTGGTATTTCTATACAATGGAGTATTACTCAGCTATAAAGAAGGATCACATTGAGATATTTATCAATAAATGGGCGCAGCTTGAGACCATACTCATAAGTGAAATAAATCAATCTTGCATGTGTGAATACTGAATAGTTTCCCTAATGTAAGTAATGATTCAAATATATGAAAGTGTGTGGTAATCATGATTCCCCAATATGTGGCCTTGAAGCCTTATAAAGTTTTCACTTATTAATTGGAAAGGCTTTATTCTGGGCTTCTTGATATGGAAATATTTGAAGCTATAGTATATGAAGTTATATTCAAATATTTCAAGGAAAAAGACGCACACTATGGTAACTACTATTAAGTCGGGTTATTTGGTGGTGAAGCAGTAGGTTGCTGAAACAGTCATGCTTTGACCTGTATTGTTATGTTGTTATGTCCTCTTTTATCTCAATCTCTCCCTTATTCATTAAAAAAATTATTTAGTTATTTTTATGTTTTTTTTAATTAAGGGGAAAAATTTAAAAAATTAGCAGGATATATTACAGTAACTTTTTTGATTTCCTATTAACTTGTCTTGAAGTCCTATAATACTCCCACTATTTTGTTTTGACTGATTAGGCTCTGTTCCATTCTGTATGATAGTATCAAGTTTGGGGATATAGGCAACTACTTTGAAGGCAATGAGATTCACTAAGATGCCCATTCTGGTTTGACTATTGTGTCCTTTGGAAGTCCTGTAATGTTTACAATGTTTAAATTTTATTGGTCTTGTTCTCTACTGTTTTGTTCAACTTTATAATACCTAATGAGATAGACAATTCTTTTTAAGGAAACAAGAGACATTATGGTAACCATTGTTGATAACCTTGTACTCTGTTCTTACATCATGTACTATGTGTATCCTTGGTTTTGACTGACAGCTTTGTTTTGCCATATTTGACTTTATTCTCTTCCAAAAAAAGTAATAAGAACTAAGGAGTAATAAAACCCAAAATGTGTAAATTTTGTTGTAAAAAGGAGAGGGAAAGAAAGTGCTCTAAAGGATACAACAGCAAGTGTGTTTAGGGGTGTTAAATAGCTGACCATATTAATGTTTTTGGTTGGATCATTGAACACAACTGTTTGCAGTCTCTCTGTTTGAATGTTCACTTTGTATGCTTTGATACTGTGCTTGAGCAACTACCTCTAAGACGATAATGTGTAATCTATTAACTGGTATTAACTGGTGATTTCTTACTGGTTTTTTTTTTTTTGTAGTTCTGTGTTACTTGTACCCTTACACCACTTTGTTTTGTTTTGTTTTTTCTCTTTTTCCTTTTAAATAAAATTTTTAAAAAACAGAACGAAGTTCAGATACTTAGCAAGCACATACATACATAAATTCAGCAAGCACTAAGCTACACGACAGACATAAAACAGGGTGAAATAGTTGAAAATGCCTGGGTATGTCAGAGAGTACTTGTGAGAGAAGAAGCTAAATAAGGATAAGGAGCAACCTACATGAGCATATGAAGATAAGATGCTTCAGGGAAAGGGACCAGCAAACACAAAGGGCCAGAGGTGGGATATCAGAGGAGCCAGGAGAACCCACAATGCTTTTCTAGGTATCTTCCTGACAAAATTACAGATAACATATTGCTTTAATACATGCATATCTATATTTATGGCAGCACAGTTCATCATAGCTAAATCTTGGGAGTGGGCTGTAAGTCACCAACAGATAAATAGAGAAAACATGGTATTTTACACAATAGAATTTTACTCTGACATAAAGAAAGACACATTTGAGTCACATATGGGAAAACTGAATGTACCTTAAGACCATAATGTTAACTGAAATATATCAACACATAAAGTTAAAAATCACATGGTCCTTTTATGAGAAAATCAAAATGCAAATAACTAAGGAGCAAGATAAAAGTTAATTAAAAGGATACAGGGAGGTAGACTTTGGGGAGATTAGAAGTTGAGAAGGAAAAGGGGAAATAAAAATGATACAATAAGTATATATACCAATTTCCCAAGATGAATACAATCATCATGCATTGCAAGCATATAGTAACAAAGAACTAAAATAAGATGAATATTAGGTAGCTTATTTAATCAGTCTTGGATAGTGAAATTTTAGGCAGGGACTTAACTCTTGGGGTTTGTTTTTTCCTACCCAATAAGAGCCCATGTTATGATTCTCAATGTGCACAAATTCAAAATTTACAACTAACCTGGAATCACATGGTATGTGACAACAGGTCCTTTCTGGAAACACAGGCTGTGGCAGTGAGTGCCTGGCTAGACAGCCTAGCTAAGCACCCTCCACACCCTCCATGCCCCCGCGCTCACACCCTGCCATCCTGTACTCAGGACTCTCAGGAAGTGGCCAGGACTTGTTGCTTTGTGAAAGAAATGATCCACACAGGAAATACCACTACTGGTGCCTGGGGTGGAAATGAAGAGAATTAGCAAGGATTTAGGAAAGTGGTGATTCTTAGAGAGAAAAGAGCTTCATGTGGAAATTTAGTTTGGTATTTACAGACTTAGGAGTTTTTTTTTTTTCCTGCAGAAATAATTTGTTTTTCCTCAGCTATGCTTTATTGCATTCACAAAGAAAATGAGTGTCACTCTGGTAGTATTTGGAAACTGGAGGATTTGTGAAGCCTGGATGTTTATATCTCCTCAAAACAGACAGGAGAAGGTGTACTTGGTATTACCTATCATGACTCAGATGTGAGTTCTAGTTTTGTTTGTTTCCTCTTTTTAAATGTGTGACAATGTGTAAATCACTTAATCACTCTTCTCCTCATTCCCAGAAGTGAAAAATGGGGATAAAATCAGGAGCCTGTAAGTAAAAAAAAAAAAAAAAAAAAAAAAAAGAAATAAAGCAGACGAAGCACTCAGCACTGGTAATCAGCATCACCATGATCGTTATCGCCTTCTTCTCCTTCATTATCATCTTGACCATCACCACCTCCAACTTTCAGCACCACCATCTCCTTCGTCTTCATCACCACAGTGCACAGATTGCAGGCATGGGAATTTCCTCATTTTACTTTGAATCTTGGCTCTAATTTTGTACATATGTGACTTTATGCAAATTTTGATATTCATTGATTCAGTTTTCCTATGTCTGAAAGACAAAAATAGCATCTACCACATAGGATTGTTGTGAGGACTAACTACACATACACACACACACACACACGCACAAGCACACAGTATATAAGAAGCAAGGAGTCACTGTGATGTTTTCATATGGACAGGAAGGTGTGTCTATATGTGATATTTAAAAACGGACCTCATACATTTTAATTATTAAACTCTGCTCCTGAGATTTGAAGCCAGATGTATGTGGATAATAACCTGTTAATGTCTTGCTTCTCACTGTCAAAGATAAATGTGATGCCCCAAATCCTCAGCTACCCCCTGCCTGCCCTATGCCATTCTACCCTTCCTGCACAGGCCCATGAGATGGCTCCCAGAGGACACACTGAGCCTGCAGCCCAGCTGGTGTCTGCAGGGGGGAAGGCAACGGGAATCCAGCTGCAGCCCTCAGCCCCACCTTCCCCATGACACACTCCTCTCCATGAACCCTCTAAGGTCTCAATAATTCACTGCAGTCACTGTGCTCAGACAGGTTGCTTAGAAAAGCAAGTTCTGAGCCAAGGGTTTTGGCAGGTCTTAAAATATTTCCTTCTGTGCCGCTGCAATCACATCTCCATCATGGGCACCTGGGAGAGCAGCAAGGCATAAAGGGGAGAGGAGCAAGGAACAAATGCAGCCTTTTGTTCATAATTGACCCGTGTCACAGAGAGACCCAGGCACAACTTGATGTGGCTTCTAGTGTGAGATGTGGGGCAAACAAAGTAATGAAGGCTTCTTGATTCTATCTATTTTAATTTTCCAATGTAAATATAGTGTTTGACTCCTCCCAGATGTAGCTACTGACTGCTTTTGCAATTCCAAAAATCAAAGACAACACATGCACTAGACTCAACACTCCACTAGCTCCTACAGTGGTAGCTGTTACCATTCGTTTTTTCAAGGACTGCTGGAAGGTAATTTGGGGGTTAGTAGGAAGCATGGAGCACACAGACAAATACTTAACAAGAATTAATTCTGAATTCCCTGTGACAAAGTCACATGTGCTGGTTCCAGGGCAAGTTATTCTAGAAGCCAGATTAAATATTAAGGTTCAAGAACAGGTGAGTGTGTGGTGCTGATATTTAATACATTTTAAGAGAAATACTTAGTACAATGAATCTATTCTCCAAATTGTTGAAAACGAGAAGGGAAAAAGGAATAGGAGAACCATAAGGAGGTACAAAGGAGAAAGAAAAGAAAGAAAAACCTGATCAATCACGAGATCACTCAGTCATAGTATGGGAGATGAGATTTAATCTACATTCTAAACCCAGTACACATGACTGCCACCTCTTTCTCTTTCTCTCTCTCTTTCTTTCTCTTTCTCTCTCTCTCTGCATGTGTGTGTGTGTGTGACTGAATTTATACATGTAACAGCTGTTAATTCTGAATTATTTATTGATCCCTCAAGTACTAAGGTAATAATATTAGCTCTCATGCACTGACATTTCCTGTAGACTGGACATCATGATAAATTCTTCGCATTAATTACTATAGTATTCTCATTCCTAATTTATAGATGCGGAATCTGAAAGATAGAATGAATTTTTTTAAATCAGAGGTCATTTACATCTTGCAAGGAAAAGCCACATTTTAAAATCTCATCACTTGACTTCAGTCTGGACTGTGGCAATCAAGTTCTCTATTATCAAGTAAAAGATGAAAGGAGGGCAGAGAGGCTCACAGAGGTGCACTAGTGGCCCCAGTGAGGAGTTAGAGCTCAGCTAACCCAATTCCTGGATCAGTGATCTCTCTTTTGTACTTCCAAACCTTAGATTTTAATCACTGAAATCTGTGACTACAAGTCAGCTTCTGGCCAGTCTACCTCTGACCTTGCAAGGAGACTTGGGGGGAGTTACCTGGCCACACACCAAAAAGTATTTTGCAAAAATTTGTCAATAAATATTTTCGGAAAAGATGGTATTAAATCAGTTCAAATT